TTTTTTTTTTTTTTTTTTTCTTTTTTTATTTATACACGAAACATCACCTCCTCCGGCGCGACTCCTCCCCTCCAACACAACACACTTTCGTACGACACGCGCGCGCGCAAACACTTATATCACACCAACATCACTTCGAATCACTTATCGGTATAGCGTCGAATTATTATTTCTTCCTTTTCTCTTTTTATTCTTTTTTTTATCCTTCTCCTTCTTCGGTCCCTCCGTCCCCTTTCGCTTTTTCCCCTCCTTTCCTTTCCTTTCTTTCCTTTTTGCCCGTTTTATCACACTGGATATTTCATTTATGTTACAGAAAACGAAGAAACTAGAGAAACTGGAGCACTACAGAACCGTGAGTTATGAATTGGGATAGTTGGGGGGTGGTTTTAAAACTTGTACACGAGGGGGGTTGTTAAGATGGTAATCAGAGTTCTCCTTCGTTCAAAACGCCAAGCCGCTCCAGACACGTTCCGTTCCTCTGTCCACCCTGCTAACGAAGTTGTGCCGCACCTGTAACACCGGAAATGCACAATCTCTCGTTAATTCCGTATTCCGAATTTGACGAATATATATATTAATCTTTCCTAACAATTATCGCGATATCGGATTTCTATCTAGATTAAAATTAATCTAGATGTGCAATTTAATTAGTTATGTAGCATTTAAAAATATAAAAAAAAAAAAAAACAAATACAACGGGGGTTGATAAATTAAATCGACTCTTTAGAATATTTTTGAAACTATTTATTGTACTAATAAAAAAAAGAAAATAGTTTTAAATAGGGATTATAATAGAGAATTTTTTTTAACAATAATAATTTATTAATTTATTAATTTCGAAAATAATCCAAGTCAATTTTTCAACCACCCTATCAACGCGCGATTGGCTCTCGAACAATCCGAATTTAAATATATTACGCAGAAATATTTTCCCTCGACAAATTTTAAAGACACCTATATAGGCCATAAATTACACACATACACTCACAATATTTGAATTATATATACATATACATATATACGTTTTCTCGATATGTTTCTTTCGATCACTTTTATACTCGATCACACACATGGAGGAGAAATCAGTTCTACACGATCTTGTCCAAGAGCCACCAACCTGTATCGAGTACCATGTCTTTGGACGTTGTTGTAAAATAAGGTTTTAGCGGCCAGTGTGGCCAGCGAAGGAACCGTTTGCCGATCCTTGCCCGACAGACTGAACGGATGGAACGTGGAGTTTGACTCGCCGAGTGAGTGACAGAAGGCGAGGTACACACGTGCTCGTCACGGTGACGGCCATCGCCCAGACGCCGAACTAGCATGGCCCTTGTGCGTGGGCGGGCTAAACGATCGTTAAATTTGGAAAAATTCCCGTGTCATTAACCATCACGGCTAACTGAACGCCACGCCGAGATATTCTCCCCTCTCCTCCCCTCCCCCCTCCGCCTAAGTCTACTAATTTTTTGCCGCGCACTCGCCGCCAACTCGTTAGTAGAATCGTTTATTTCTCTTTTTTTGGGGGGAGAGGGGGGGAGTTTATGACGGTAAATAGAAGACACGTTCGGGAAGAAGCACAGTGGTCGCCCTCCTTTGGTTAAAAATGTCCGTTTATCTAGAATTTTATTCTAGTTTTCTAGAGATGCGTATATGTTGCAAACGTTTGAGAAATCCTATGGACATTTTTTACCATGTACGAGTAAAGTTGGGACTATTTATATTGTTTTGATAGAGGAAAAGTGACAAAGAAAATAATAATTCATTGATAGATTTTTAGATTAGATAAGACATTTTTAACTACAGGAGACAGGGTTTAGGATTATTGTGAAAAGGATAAAAAAGAAGATATGTTTTATTGGACAAATAATTTGGTAATTTATTATTATTAGATTCATTAAATTTCGTTTAATCATAGAATTAATTAAATTTTGCAGAAATATAAGAAATATTGTCAAGATGGTGCGTCCTATATATCTTTATGGGATTCTGGCTTCACGTGCTGCATTACCGATTGTGCAAGAAATGATGCCATTTCTGAAAATCAAAAATAGTAAAAATTCAATATTTATAAATTTTAAGATATTTTATATATGTATATATATGTATTTCTGTTTTTTGATACTATTTTATCGATTTACGTCATTATTATCATTTATAGAAAAAAATGTTTCAGATAAAAGTTGAATAGTTTAAAAAGAAGTATATTCAGGCATTATTAGAGATTTTATAGGAGAATGCATAGAGATTTTAGAAAGATTAAGTTTGATTTCTTAAATGGAATCACATATATTTTAATGCAGTAATCGATGCAGCTTGACATTTTCTATAAAAAAGTATTAAGGCACTTATGGCAAAAAACCATTAGTTTAGCAGATATTTAATTATATTTAATTATCTCCTAAACTAATAATTTTCAGATATATATGGTCTAATACTTTTTTATAGAGAATACAAAATTGCATCAAATAATGTATTAAAAATTATAGGGTTCCATATAAAAAAACTAAATTGATTCTCATAACTTCTTTATGCTTCTTCCTATAAAAAAATTAATAACATAATAATGTAGCCCGTTTGAAACCATTCAATTTTGTATTTGAAACTTTTTCAATATCATTAAAAATAAAAAAAATATTCGGTTATAATAAAGTTCGGTTATAATAAAGTTAAAAGGTAAGTATGTAAAAAATAATTATCTTTAGAATTAAGAAAACTGTTGAAAAAACGATTAAAAACATAAAAAAATGGAAACTAAGAAGGTAAGTAAAAGGTAAGTATAAGGTAAGTATAAGGTAAGTAAAACATGTAAAATATTTCATATAAAAGTGTCTTTAAAATTATATTTTTCAAATGGAATATCATAGGTGAGCTATGATTACAAGAATTTGACGTCATTTCCAAGAAGTGCCAAAATTCTAAGAAAAATTTTAAAAACGACCTCCTATCATGTTATGTTCTCCTAATACAAAATCGCAAAATTGGCCAAAAATTTTTTTCATTCGACAACTTCGGTAATTCTTGGAATTTGACGTCATTTCCAAGAAGTGCCGAAATTCCGAGAAAAATTTTTCGAACGACCTCCTGTCAACTTATGTTCTCCTAATACAAAATCGTAAAATTGGCCAAAAATTTTTTTCATTCGACAATTTCGATAATTCTTGGAATTTGACGTCATTTCCAAGAATTTCGAAAATTCCAGGAATTTGACGTCATTTCCAAGAAGTGCCAAAATTCCGAGAAAAATTTCTCGATCGACCTCCTTTCGTATTATGTTCTCCTAATACAAAATCGAATTTTTGGCCGAAAATTATTTTCATTTAAGAATTTCGATACCGATCATTTTTGTTAAATATCTCGTTTGTTTTTCATAATATCAAAAAATGTTTCGAATAAAAGTTGAATAGTTTCGAAAGGGCTATGTCCTGCTGCTTTCAATTTTTTTACAGGTGATCATGTAAAAAACTTATCAAGCTCTATCTCATTTTTTTAAATGGAATCATATATTTTTTAATGCACCAGTCGATGTATTTTGGCTTTCTGTATAGAAAAGTATTAAGGCACTTATAACAAAAAACCATTAGTTTAGCAGATATTTAATTATATTTAATTATCTCCTAAAGTAATAATTTTTAGATATATATGGTCTAATACTTTTTTTATAGAGAATATAAAATTGCATCAAATAATGTATTAAAAATTATGGGGTTCCATATAAAAAAACTAAATTGATTCTCATAGCTTCTTTATGCTTTTTCCTATAAAAAAAATTAATAACATGAAAATATAGCCCGTTTGAAACCATTCAATTTTGTATTTGAAACTTTTTCAATATCATTAAAAATAAAAAAAATATTCGGCACAATAGAGTTAAAAGGTAAGTATGTAAAAAATAATTATCTCTAGAATTAAGAAAACTGTTGAAAAAACGATTAAAAACATAAAAAAATGGAAACTAAGAAGGTAAGTAAAAGGTAAGTATAAGGTAAGTAAAACATGTAAAATATTTCATATAAAAGTGTCTTTAAAATTATATTCTTCAAATGGAATATCATAGGTGAGTTATGATTCCAAGAATTTGACGTCAGTTCCAAGAACTTCGAAAATTCCACGAATTTGACGTCATTTCCAAGAACTGCCGAAATTCCGAGAAAAATTTTTCGAACGACCTCCTGTCAACTTATGTTCTCCTAATACAAAATCGCAAAATTGGCCAAAAATTTTTTTCATTCGACAATTTCGATAATTCTTGGAATTTGACGTCATTTCCAAGAATTTCGAAAATTCCAGGAATTTGACGTCATTTCCAAGAAGTGCCAAAATTCCGAGAAAAATTTCTCGATCGACCTCCTTTCGTATTATGTTCTCCTAATACAAAATCGAATTTTTGGCCGAAAATTATTTTCATTTAAGAATTTCGATACCGATCATTTTTGTTAAATATCTCGTTTGTTTTTCATAATATCAAAAAATGTTTCGAATAAAAGTTGAATGGTTTCGAAAGGGCTATGTCCTGGTGCTTTCAATTTTTTTATAGCTGACATCGTAAAAAACTTATCAAGCTCAATTTCATTTTTTTAAATGGAATGATATATTTTTTAATGCACCAGTCGATGTATTTTGGCTTTCTCTATAGAAAAGTACTAAGGCACTTATGGCAAAAAACTATTAGTTTAGCAGATATTTAATTATATTTAATTATCTTCTAAACTAATTTATTAATACTAAGACTTTTTTATAGACACTATGAAGTTGCATCAATTAATGTATTAAACATGACTCCCTCGAAACCATACAACTCTCATCTAAAATATTTTTAACTACGAACAATAATAATGCCGTAAATCAAAATTG